GAAGCCTTTCTTGTTGATTGGAATTTTATATTGTGTTGAATGTGTACTTGACAAGTAAAAAACAACAACACAAGGTCTGACCCATTACCTCCAGTCGTGGCATTCTTTGCACTCTGTCATGCACTGTTGCCATTCACAATTTTGTAAAGTAATGGAAACTAACGTCCACTGCACTAGTGTGTACATTAAATGTGGTTTCAAAAATAGAGATCCCAGGTCTCCCCGATGTCTGCACTACTAATGTTCCACTTCATGGCAAAGCCTTTTGCCAAGCACATTGTACAGTGGCAGAAAAGTCTGACATCCCCACTGGAAGCCGTGAATTCCTAAAGCACTGTGGTGTGCAAGTTGCTGACACCATCAGGTTGGTGTATTGTATACTCTTAAATTGTATTTAATGTAAATGTCAGTAAATTTCTGCTTGGCAAGTCTTAACCACTTGCTGCCAGAGTCAGTTATCAATGTTGACGATGCTGGACTGGGCTAATTATCTTTTTTTCCCCCAAATTCTTTGAAAATTACTCCCTTCATTTACCGGAAACTTGCACCCCTACGAAGGACAGACAAAATCTATTGACGCCTGAGTATTTCAGCCAGGCCTGCAGCCTTTTAAAAATCGAGTTAGATTATCTCCACTTTTGAGAGTGAAAAAATGTCAGTACGTGTCTGGAACCGGAATCCCTGGCAGGAATTAATTAAACATACATTTAAGACCGATTCAGGAGAATGGATGCCTTTAATCCTTGAGTTTTCTTCTGTAAGACGGCCAAGTTCATTTTTGTCTTAAATGCCTAGTACATGTATGTCGTGGAGTGAAATGTAGTCAATGCATGATTGAACTCATATGTCTTCGTTTTAGAATTTCATGTTCCCACCATCCTGCTCATGTTATGGCGTATTCATTGTGTAATTTTTTCCTGATGAAGTTCCATATATTAATCTGGCGTGCCATGGCACATTTTGAGCATTTAGTGAGATATGGTTGAATAAAATTGTCCTTTTTGCAATTGCCATTGTGCTTTTATACATTGGTTATTTTCAAATTTCAGCCCATCAACTCTTAGCTTGCTGAGCGCAATGTTAATACACGGTAATATTGTGCAAATTTAATAGGCAATTGTCCCAGATAAATTTTTGGTCATTGACGTTTGAGATATTGTTATCGTAATATTGTCAGATCTAGTACATAGCAAGATATCCATGTACCTGCTTGACTGATACATAATTTTTTTAAGCGCATGTATGCAAAGTAGTACATACAATTATCAAGACCCACTGCCATTGCATTGACACATGGGTGCTTTTCTGTTCTACAGATACTGGAGAAGGCAGAAGTCGGACACATTTAGATGTTGAAGACAGAGGTATGCAATTTTAACTTCTCCTTTTTTATTTTTGGTTTTGGTTCACTTCATAATGCAATTGTGCTTGTTTTTACCACCTCACTGTTATGTAATGATTTTTTAATTGTCCATTGTATAGACAATTTAAGCAGTTTCCTTTCAATGCATTGGCTTNAGCGTATACAGATCGTGCCTTGTAAAAACAAAAGTTGTTGGGCCTATCCTACTTCTAGAAGTAACCCAAGCTGGCTGAAATATGTTCACTCAGTCAGCGTCAGGACATCCGACATTCCACCAGAGCATTGGTCAGCTGTTGCACTGTCAACGTTTGCGTATACTTCACAATAAATGTTCCCTAGCAACAATCTTCCAAGGTGGTGAAATGGACAGGAATGATGATTGGCTGATGCAGAATCACTGACAAATTGATTGTGTAGAAACATTAGCACGAACAGTATAAATCATGGACCTGCTGTTGATGGGGGCTGATCCCTGCCCCCCCTTTTGCCTACAGGCCTGCATCATGAACATGAATATTCCATACAACCATGGACTTTTCATATTTTTTGTTCAAGTTCACATTCACTACTAAAATTAATGATTATGGTGAGGCGTGGACATCCGGGTCTTGCAAAATGGCATGCAGCAACCACACTGCACCAATGAAAACAGCAACTATGGCCAAGTATGTGCGCACCAGCCAGTCAGAGGATCGGGTTTATCTTTTCTTTGATGAATGCTTATGGGCACATTGTTTTCATCGGTGCGGTGTGGTTGCTACCCGCCATTTTGTGAGAGTCATGGACGTCCGTGTTGCCCCGTTGCATTCATTCAGTAAACATGAGCAATTATTATGCAGGTACATTATGACTGTCTGACAGATTTGCAGTGGATTCATCTGGTGATTGGAGAAGATCAAGATGACCCTGTTACTTCAGATCCGCCCATCATCTTGGGTGGCTCGGACTGGTATCTTCCACCCTACCTCAAAGAACCCACTACTATTTAGCCAATGCTCACTTATCAGCATGCAGCCGAGCAGTCATGTGACACGGTCAGCAGCTGTGATGGGTCAAAGAGTGCAAAGGACAAAGACAACAGAACAATGGTTTTGCATGGTCAAAAGGTGTATGGCAACAGAGCAGCAACAGATGCCCCGGAAAGCGGCAAAACAGGTTGCCAAGAGAGCACCGGGTACCGGGCAAGGAGAAGTGGCCCTTGGCAAGAAAGGTTGGCTTCTTTTTTTAAGAGTTTTTCCTATCATTTCTGGCCCAAGGTGCAATCTATGGAGGGTTTGCAAGGCTGCCATCATGCGGGCCAGTTGTTTTGTTCCATAGGGTATGTAAAAAGGAGGTTTCCCTTTGGAGCAGAATATGTGCCCTGCAAGATGGCTACCAGGATGCAAAGCCTCTGTAGATCTGCTGGTTGACTGCCACTGGTAACACCAGTGAGATACAGGAAGGGGGTGCCAACTTTCCCTCCCTAACAAACTTGATTTGTATTTTGCTGGGAGGGGTTAGGAACTCTAAACAGCAGTCTCTCCTGCATATACTTGCTTCAAAACGTCTTGCCTTTCTCGCAAGTTTGTACTTGTGATATAGCAGATTACTGCAAATCAAAAGTCCTTTATTTGAAAAAGTCATGTTGAAATGAATGTTCCTGGTGTGTCAACTCATTCACCTTACCGTCTTTCTTCCTCGCACAGTTGTCCAGGCTGGAAAGGACGTGAGCTATTTGGGTATTGTCATTGTTGGCATTGGTGTAACAGGTACGCTAGTCACAGGTTGAACCATTGTTTATACTTCCATGACGTGCCACGTGGCACAAATTGGAATAATGAATGTCGGGCAGTTAAGTCTCATAAGTCAGTTATGCAAATCATGGTTGCTGCTATATGCAAATTAAGGACAGAACTTTCAGCCAATGAGGAATGCTGAAGTGGCATCATCAGGACTCTTGGAGAAAGTTATTTAAGCAGGATGCACTCACACAGCAGAGTTGTAGAGTCCAGTCACTTGACTTGGACTGGAGTTTGACTGGAGTGGCTATTTTTGTGACTCTTGACTTGACTTGGACTTTCAAAAATGACTTGTGACTTGGACTTGCACTTTATGAATTGTTATCAATGTAGGTCAGAAAACTGGTCAGTCGAACCCATTAAAGTTTAAAAGTTGTAGGCGTATCAACTTACGCCTTATATGTAAGTTCTTAAAGTAATCAGTGTAAGACTTTGCTCGGCTCACAACTTCTACTTCGGTCTTGTCTGCTCAAGGCCTTGTCTCAATCACTTGGCTGTTGCTTGAAATCACACATTGCGTGACTACTGTGATTGACTTGTACTTAGACAAAAGGGCTTGTGACTTACTTGTATTTGGACCAAATTGACTTCTGACTTGACTTGACCTGCAATCGAATGACCTGTGACTGAACCAAATGACTTGCGACTTGTCTTAGACTTGTAAAAATTGACTTGTGACTTGACTTGGATTTGCAAAAATTGACTTGCTACCACCCCTGTCAAACAGTAGTTTGACTGTCAAACAGTAGTTTGACTGTCAAACAGTAGTTTGACTGTCAAACAGTAGTTTGACTGTCAAACAGTAGTTTGACTGTCAAACAGTAGTTTGACTGTCAAACAGTAGTTTGACTAATGTAGATGGTTCATCAGTTGTGGCTATTCAAATTTTCTCTTGGATTACAAGTATTGGAACTTAATGTGCTTATCATGGGGAAGGCAGTATTTTGGGGATAAATTTGATTTATTTTAATAGCAGTAGATTTTGTTCTGTAAGTCATAAGCCCTATTAGGGATCAGTTCACAAGTAAAGGCCGTGAATTGAAGACAGAAACACCCCTTGTCACAGTTCATTTTGTGGCTCGAGTCTAGCTGTTGATGAGTTATGATTGACTGCACTACCAATGTGATTTTCATTAATTGAGTTGTTTTTGCCTTTTTGCTTCCTTGGGTCTCCACCGATTGTCGTGTTTTTACAGGCATCATGTTCTATGCAATTGGCCGTGAGCTGTTTGCATCCAGCAGCCCCAATGCTGTCTACACTAGAGCCTACAAACTATGCAAGAAAGACGCAGAGGTACAAAAACACCAGATCTTTTTATTTACTTGTGAAATGTTTTAGGCATCTCAAATTTAAGCGTTCATGTAAGAACACTTCTCCTTTACATGCATTAGCTAGCCATATATCTTGTTTATGTCTCTGTTGATTTTAATTATTCATGATATGCAGATAATTGAAGAGCTTGGTGAGCCAATCAAAGGCTTTGGAGAAACAACAAGGAGGGGTAGGCGGCGGCATGTGAGGTGAGAAGAAATGGGAATGTCTTTTAATAGCACTAAACACTAGTTTGTTCACCCATCGGCAATGGTGTCTTTTTCCAGCTAGCAGTGGGTATAGTGATCAACTTAAGTTAACGTTGAGCCTATCACAAATCACCCAGTCTTAAGCCAAGTCACATGCTATTCAAATGAATTGTGACAAAGCATTTGTCATTTTCACCATTACTTGCAACTGGCCATATGACATGACATGGTGAAAGGACATATAATGAACTCAACTTGAACACTTGGAGCTAAAGTAAATTTGCCACTTATTTTTGTCATCAATTCACTCTCCTGTTATTAATGTGGAGGAAAATAGAATGCTTATTACAAACGCCTCATTAGGTATGTAGCAACATCTTTCTGAGAAGTTGTTTGACACTCAATTCTATTTTCAATGCGAGAGGTCCAAAATCCTGTGTTCATGCCAAATCCCACCCAGGTCTGTTAGTCATGTTGACAGAGGTAAACTTAACCATTATTTTATGTATTTAGATCTAATTGATTGCAATTTTGAAACTTTTGAAGAGCTTCGTGTCTCATCTTTTTCTCAGTCATTTTGAGTACGAGCAGGATGGAGTGAAGCACATGCGGATGAAGTTTTACATCCAGGGTCCAAAGAGGAAAGCCACCGTGCACCTGGAAGTCAAAGAGGTAAGGGTACTTTGAAGTCGGACAGAGGTTTTAAGGAAACAGTGGACCGCTCAGGGTTTAACGGGGGAGGGGCAAATAATGGGGAACTCAAGAAAGAGGAAAGGTTGGGCCCAATAATGTTGAGTTTGATAACAAATGTTGGCTTTGTGTAAACTTATCATAGAATGTAGATAGTATGTATATTAGTGCCTTTTTGCTTCTATTCAACTGAACCAAAAATCGTTTATGCAAGCTTGTCATTTCCCTCATCCCTCCACTTTATTCGCAGGGGGAGACAGGCAAGTATGACTATCGCTACTTGTTTGTTGAGCTGGACGGCTATCCTCACAGGACCGTCATACTGGCGGACAACAGATGATTCTATTTTTTATGTGCATGAAACGTTGAGGACTTGTGCAGCCAACTCAGTGGCCGCGTCAAATTGACTGGCTGCAGCTGTAACATGAACACACCTATGGGAAGTGGCTGTAGCCACTTGATAGCGGCTACCATAGCCACGTGTATATCCAGCTGCAGTGTTCCCCATCAAGAATCATGTGCGAATGCCATTGACTGACATGCTTCCAAATCGATGGAAATGTATTTATAGTCGGCACCATCCCTGGAGTTTGATTTGGGAAATTTTCTTGTCTCTTCCCGTAGAGGAAATGAACTGGACTGCTGAGTGATTTTTACATATCCAAATAATTTGGGCCTGGACTGAGGGCATACCCTATGCCCATCTTGTAGATATTCTGCTTTAATCCTCCTCTGTGGCTGATATTACCCAAGTATGAAAATTGGAGAGCTGTCGAATGACTTAAGTAAGACAGTGCGACAGATGCAGGACACAAAACGAATGGACAATTTTGAGAAAACCAACAGCAGGCCCTGAACATAAACTCATGTAGTGTTTGAAGATCACTTAGTTGATTGTACTTAATTCATTAGCAGGCTGTGACTTCCATATTCTTTAGCCTAAGCTTACAAGATTTAAGTGCCAAGTTACTCCCTGAGTTTGAATGGATTGGATTATTTAACAGGTTGCATATACACACTGAAAGTCTGAAACAGAATACAGAACTACATCGGGTTGTTTTTTTCACAACACAAAAGTAGAGAGCTTTTATTACACATTACATGTACAATATATAAACAATTTTTGGTTTGTACATTTCACATTGTCATTATAAAATCTCATTTTTTTGTTAACTTCAAGAATAAATTCTGGTCAACGTAAGTACATGTACATAATTACAAATGAGCAGTTCTTGGTGTTAAAATGTATGAACATGAATAGAAAAAAATATGCACAGCTAAACACACTTTAACACACCCTCGGAATTCCAAGAGTAATGCTCATTGGAAGCGTATAATTTCTCCCAGTTTTTGTAAGTACTTTTTCTCAATTTACAAAATCCAAACATACTTAAATTGAGCCAATCGCAGTTATCCCTCAGTTTTAAGTAATTTCAGTACAGTAGTTACTAAGGGAGTACCAATTCAATCAACAGTGAATATTTGGAACTGAACGGCAAGTTTCTTTGGTAGTGACACAATCTGCTTTAGCCAATATTCCACCAGCAAGCAAAGCCCCAACTAGGAACCAGATTAACTTCACGTTGTTTCTGCCTTCCTTTTGATAACACTGGAATGGACTACTGAATGGTTGAACCTTATCATGATTCAGCCACTGAAATTGAAAGTGACATTAACTTCATTCATTTTGGAACTTGACAGCATCAGTAAAAGAATAAAGTGAAATTTCCAATCAAATTCAGTACTTGTCTACTCCGAGTAATAATTTCATATTTATGATAAAACATACTTAAATGTCTTACGTCAGACTTGAAAAAAACTTGAAAGGAAGGCTTGGAGCCCATATAACTAGTCTGATGTCACCCCATTCAGCAGTTAACAATTTATAGAACGGCCTCCATGAACAAGATCAAAAATGGCTTCCTCGGGTATAAGGCCCACTGAATTCACACAGGTTTGTAAGGCATATGCACACTCTGCTTGTAAATGTGAATTTCTTTTCCAATGCAATAACACTTCTTGGCAGATGACAGAGACAAATTGCCACAAAGAGTCAACTTTCAATTCATTGATGGGTTTCCTGCATCTAGCATCCTTCAGCCTGAATTTCATCATCTGTCCTTTGCTGTTCATGTGCAATGCCTCACGAATAAAAATGCAGCAGGATGCTTTGTACAAAAAAAACCTATTCTTGATTCGATTTATTCAAACAAATATTGAGCTTACAGCAGGCAGTCCAAACAAACAACCCGGAATCCTTGTCGCCGACAACAAAATGAATATCGTTTGGAAACAACTAGGAAGGGAAGTTGACTTTTCCCACCGGGAAACGAGTTAAGCATTGGAATTTTATTCCCTCTACTGTGGAACCAAGAGGATCGTCGTCGTCCTTCCCTTAGTGCCCGGCCGTTAGCTTTTCAAAGCCTCTTGTCCTTAGGGACAAAGGGCCGCTCCACCAGAGTTCGGATGAGCTGATTCTGAAAGACGAACGTCTTGACTCTGGTCATGAGGTAGATGAAAATGAGGAGGAGGAGAGATACTGCACCCAGGCCCACACCATCACTTGGAAAAATCCGGGGACATACGTGTGCAAAAGTTAAGGGAAAATTGTTCTGATGATCAATTTTCATTCCGACCACAGACGTGAACATGTGAGTTTTCAGGATGACAACAGCAATAGATCCGATAAGTTTGTGAGGGCTTGGCAAGACTTCTTGAAAGGCTGTCATGCCGTGAAGGGGGCTACAGGTCTAAGAGACGTAAAATAGCATTTCTGTGCAATAAGAAATGTGGGGACACATCAGTGTTTGCCGGTGATGAACAAATCTCAGTGAAACCAGCTTAACTTGCATCTGTACACTCACATTCCACTGTGACTTGTAAAAAACATGTTGCAGAAAGACGACTCACTGAAGCAAGAGAACATTGTCTTGAAAAGGTCATAAATTGCAACAAAATGTTTGGACAGTAAACTGGTGTTGGATAAACAGAAAACCCTGAGTGCATGTTCAACTTTTTCTGACTGCTGGAATAAATTGTAAACTCTTTCAAACCTGCATACAGAGCAAACAGATGTATGTTTAACAGAAAACAAACATTGTTAAAGAGACTGGCCAAATTATACATCATTATCCAAAGGCGGCATTTCAAAAAGGATATACTAAGAGTTCCTCTGGGTAGCGCACAGTCCCTCTGATCAGGAATGTTTCAGAGGAACTTGGGCCTCTCTGCCAGACAGGGTAGCGACATTCAAAATATGTGCTCACTGATAATAAAAAGCAGAAGATATTCATTGCAATTTAAATATTTTTTAATAATTTTAATAATTTTACACAACCACATGGGAATAGGCCTGTCTAGTGATGATGCCACACTGTGTTTACTTGTGCACTTTCCTATGGAGTTGGAGGGACCGTGGCCCTCACTGGCTCATAAGGTCAGTCTTACAAGTTATGAAAATCACCTTTCACAAGACGGCACTGCAAACAGGATTTTCCTGTGGTCTTCACTTCATTTATCTGACATGTCTGAGCTTCAGGATGTAGTGAGTGGCCGAATACAGGCGATTCACAATAGTGCGCCACCAAGAGTTTGCAACACGTTGGCCAATCGTAATGTGCGAAATTCGTTGACCCTTTCCAAACGCGCACTGGGTCGACAAATTTCGCGCATTGTGATTGGCCAACGCGTTGCAAACGCTTGGTGGTGCACTATTGTGAAACACCATATTTCAAGGGAATGACCAGTCAAAAACCTGAAGAACAGGACAAGTCACCAAACAATCCTGAACAGCACAGAAGTCGGTTGCTTACCATTTCTTGAAATGTAATCACTGAATATTTTTGACAGCTGGTAATCTGAACTGAAGACACTGTCCCCATTGATGACGGCAGTCTGCAAAGATCAGAAACACGTTTAGCCCCAGAGAGTGACGTAACAAGTAACTGACAAGCTGTTATCTTTTGGGTTTTAAGAGATTTAAAAGCCATTAGCTATGGTGGTACTGTGCTCAGTTGAAGGATGCGCGTGCATGACGAGCGCCTCTTTGACTACTAGGGTTGATATGACTCACTAAAATGCCCATTTTCCCTAAGTTTCGGAATGTGTGCTGCATCCCCAATAGTGTGATGCCAGAATTGGTATCTCTCGGAATAGACCTAAAACATAATGACGTCAAGCTTTGTTTGCATGCATGTCTTCCAACGGGAGGTCGATGGATCACGTCCGATCTCACTGCCATATGAAAGTGCACATGTAACCACAGCATGACGTCACTGTGTTACATGCCGATTGGTCCATAGGCTACAGGTCCAAGAGTAAATCGGTCCAAAGGACGGCTGAGTCTGTGGGACATGATCATCCTTTGATGTAAATAAAGCAACAATGTATTACTGAAGGTCTCGCAGTTGTCCTAGGAAAGATGGAATCTATACAACCTAACAAGCTAGGCCAAGAATAAATGTTTGTGGCATGGCTTTGGCAATCCGTGGACCGTGAAGCCTACAGTCCACATGTCACTTTTCTTTGCTCCGCCCACAACTCACATCGTATCTCGTGTCTAATGCCTTGTGAGAGAGAGGCATCTTTAGGCGTAACCTCAGCTCACCGTCTGCAATGAACTCTGAACCACTCAGTGGTGACGTGTGCTCAATATAAGCCATAGTCTCCATCCTCAAGGAGGAAAACCTCTGCAAACAGACAAGTGGACAATGACATAGACATGTTACGTGTTAACATTCTTGTCTTTTCGAGAGGGAAACAGGTTTCGGAATAAGTGAATAAATATGTGCTTGGCCCATCTCAAATGTGCGTTTAAACCCTTTTAAGGAGAATAGACGCAACTAATGCATGAACCGCAGGCGAAGGCATTATCAGCACTCAGTCTCCTGAGCCGGTCTTAAACAATAGTTTAAGGCTTGTCAAGCACATATTTATTCCCATTCATAAATAACTTTTTAGTCAGAGAGTCAAAAAAGTCAATGTATGATAGATTTCCAATGATTTTGTTCCAGAATTTTACTTTCAGTTTTTACTTTCACCCCCGTGCATTTTATGGAATATGCCTTGTGCACATTGTCCAATTGGCGCGTGCTGGCCTGGAGTTTGATCTCATTAACCCTAACCTCCCAAGGGTTGCTGGCCCTAACCTTCCCCATTCGCAC